AGGCCGGAACACTGCTAGCATATATGACCCCAGTCACCTTTCTTCTCTCTTCCTTCCTGCCTCCTTTTCCCCTTGCCTGAGGTCGCTTTTGCAACTTCAAAGATGCAGCTGAGCAGTTCTTTCCACGCTGGCTGGGTATCTCCTTATGCTCTTACGTGCAGGATGGGAGCATGACTTGAATGGGGGGGACTCACGGTCCTTGGGCTGAATCCAGGAGCTGCCTTCCATCAGAGGAAGGGCTTTGCTCACAAAAGGCCCCTCACCTCCTTTTGGGAGATCTGTCTCTTCCCCTTAGAGCTCACCCCATTCAGCAAGGTCTTCCTGCATCGCATTTCTAGAAGGCTAGAGGGACTGTCATGGGAAGGAAGGAAGGGCAGGGAAGACCACTCCCATCAGCACAGTTGATCTGTGCTGAATCTGGATGCAACCTTTCCTACAGTTTCTAAACTAGTTTACAAAAACAGGCAATAAGGACACCACATGGCAAAGTACTGGAATCCCAAGTCTTTATTGACAAAAACAATGGAGTGCCTTTACAAAGGCAAAACGAAGAGGCAGTGAACTGGTCCATCTCTTTTACAATCAAGTGGACAAATGGGCAAGTTTTGTCAGCATCTTATCACTGCCACAATATACATAGAGGCAGAGACCCAATGTACTCAATACATCAGGGAGAGGTGGAAAAAAAGAGACAAAATACATTTCCCATTGTTCATATCACATGTAAAAACAGCAAGAATCCTTCATTGTTTTCTCAGGTACTCATGAATACAGGAAACACTCAAAGGGATCAAAATACAAAACCTTCATGATACCCTCCCTATCACGATTGCTTTGCTTTCCTCCCAAGCTCCTCAATTAATAATGGGCCCTAAAGTGAATTGGAATTCCCTGCCTAGAAGCCATGTGCCTTCCACCCAGGGGGAAAAAAGCCCACAGCACCTTTTTTCAGGCAGCCAAGCCCTTCCATAATTAAACAGGAAGCATTTGCACCTCCTGCTTAACAAATCCCTTTCTCTCTTTATCATCAAGCAGCAGGAATTGAATACCTCATCTTTCTAGTGATTTTCTTTAGCATTATCCTTCCCTGTTTCCATGGTGCTTTGATAATGTGTCCTCTTATTTTATATAGTGCTATCAGTACACTTACTTTACAGAGTAATATAAGCAACCCCCACCCCTACTGCAACATCTCCCCACTGCAAGGAGCTTGCAAATTCCATGAAGGTAAATGGAGTGAAATGGCTGCCTGAGGAAGCTTTACAAATAGCTGAGGAAAGAAGGGAAGCGAAAGGCAAGGGAGAAAGAGAAAGATGCAAACAATTGAATGCAGAATTCCAGAGAATAGCTAGAAGAGATAAGAATGCCTTCTTAAATGAACAGTGCAAAGAAATTGAAGAAAACAATTGAATAGGGAGGACCAGAGATCTCTTCGAGAAAATCGGAGATATGAAGGGAACATTTCATGCAAAGATGGGCATGATAAAGGACCAAAATGGCAGGGACCTAACAGAGGCACAAGAGATTAAGAAGAAGTAGCAAGATTACACAGAAGAACTATACAAGAAAGAGCTTAATGTCCCTGATAATCATGATGGGGTGGTCACTGACCTCGGGCCAGACATCCTGGAATGTGAAGTCAAATGGGCCATAGGAAGTCTAAGCAACAACAAAGCTAGTGGAGGCGACAGTATTCCAGCTGAGCTATTCAAAATCCTAAAAGACGATGCAGTAACAGTGCTACACTCAATATGCTAGCAAATTTGGAAAACTCAGCAGTGGCCACAGGATTGGAAAAGGTCAGTTTACATTCCGATCCCAAAGAAGGGCAATGCCAAAGAATGTTCAAACTACCGCACCATTGCATTCATTTCACATGCTAGCAAAGTTATGCTGAAAATCCTACAAGCTAGGCTCCAGCAGTATGTAGACCGAGAACTACCAGAAGTACAGGCAGGATTTTGAAGAGGGAGAGAAACTAGAGATCAAATTGCCAACATTTGCTGGATCATGGAGAAAGCTAGGGAGTTCCAGAAAAACATCTACTTCTGCTTCATTGACTATGCTTAAGCCTTTGATTGTATGGATCAGAACCAATTGTGGCAAGTTCTTAAAGAGATGGGAGTACCAGACCATCACATTTGTCTCTTGAGAAACCTATATGCAGGTCAAGAAGCAACAGTGACACGGAACCACTGATTGGTTCAAAATTGAGAAAGTAGTTCAGCAAGGCTGTATACTGTCGCCCTGCCTATTTAACTTATATGCAGAGCACATCATGAGAAAGGCAGAGCTAGATGAATCACCAGTTGGAATTAAGATTGCTGGGAGAAATATCAACAACCTCAGATATGCAGATGATACCAC